TGGGTAAATATATTGTTAGTGCTGCTATTAATGAATGATTTGCTGCTGTAGGGCATTGCATGCCAAAACAAATAGATACAGATTTTTTTTCTCTTGCCATCACTTTGCTGAACACCTAATCCTCACAGTACTGTCTAATGTGAATTTATTATGACTATATTATTATCTATCTTATTACACAAAGGGAAAAAACAGTACCATAAAAAACAGATTAGAAACACAAGTTAAGATAGGCAAGAAAATGGAAAGTGAATTGTTCATTCCACTCCATTCCACTCCACTCTTCTATTGCAGTCTCCAGGGGTGCTCAAATTATGATATGTACTAGATAAAGTCATCTCGCAAATGCTGCCATTGCATCATTGAGTGTTGCTGTCTGATCTAAGGGTATGTCAATGCTGTTTGCATGATAATGTTTGTGTGGTAATGTTTCCTCATTTGCCAACCCACTCCCAAGGCTACCCATATGTTTTTGCTTCATCCTCATTTCAGACCCCTGGTGTGAATACAAGAGAACCAAGCAAAGCCAGTGAGGTTAATTCCATTCTCCCCTTTAGCCATTCAGAATCCAGGTCTAGAAATCTGAGAGGTTACTGGATCTTTTACACTTAATTAATTCTGGGATTGTTGTAGCTTTGAACCAGTTAGGTTTTCCCGCTATAGTTAGACCGAGCAACATTGTTCTTTACTAGTCTTAAAATGTTGTCTGCCAGAGAGCACTAAGCTGTCTCCACAACCGTGGCTAACTGACCACATAACCACAGAGAACCGTCTTCGCAACCATGGCCAGCCATCTACATAACCTTGGCTACATACCTCCACAGCCATGACCAACTGTCTCCACAATCATGGCTAGCTGTATCCATAACCATAACTAACCCTGCAACCGGGTCCAGCATAGATTTTCCACTAGTTTTTAAATGATGCCACTAAACTGCCTCCACAACCATGGCTAACTACATCCACAACCATAGCTAATCACATCCACAACCACAGCTAGTCACACCTACAACCATGGCTAACCACACGCATAGCCATAGTTAACCATCTCTAAGGCCATGTATAGCCATAACCATAGCTAACACTGCAACCATGGTTAGCCATCTCCATAGCAAACCAGGCGTAAATCTGTTTTGTGACATGCTGATGGCCTCCTTTCTCCATTAATATCTGGACAACTGGAGTTTTCAGGGATTTTATTTTGGCTTCTGTTCACAGGTTATTAGCATTTACATGGGAATATCAGTCAATCTGGGAGAAGCCTGGGAGCCATACAAGGCTGCCAAAACAGCTCTGAACTACACACTGGATCTTTCCAATGTTAAGGAGCAGGTAAGGAAATGTGAGCTTAGCAGGATAAGTGAAGTTATGTAAGAATCTGATTTAAGTGTTTTCATTAAACTTACCAACTTGTGATCTTCTCACCAAATGTAGAGCTTTTTAAGGGCCTCTTACCTTAAGGTCTTATTCTCTTGTTACTCTTGGCAACCTGAATTTGCACATAGAAGTGGGGAAAGGAAGGTGCACACTCTGATAACTGAGCTTTGTCAGGAAGGAGAGCATAGCAACTTTAAATGGGAAGTGGGGGCCTTTTCCCATGACTGTAGAACTACATCAGAAAGACTTTAAAATGGGAGGAAGGAAGGAAGGAAGGAAGGTCTCAGCCACTCTAAGGAAGAATAACAGATGCCTAGATCTACAGTGTAGTTGACTGTGGCTGAAATGTCAGGATCCACTTTTGCACACCTCGCGGACTTATGAAACTCCCAACCATTTGTGTCCTTGTGGCATACTCATTAGCAAGCTTCGGTCAAATGTACTTGTTTATAATTCACAAGAGGTAGCTAATCTCTCCTCTGAGTCCAATTCAGCGATGGGTGACTTCATGGAAAATCTTGTTGAAAGAAAAGTCTTCATCCTGGTTCATCCAAGCCGGGGATAAATAAACAACATGGCGACTGCTTTAGAAAGAAGGTTGCAGTTTATTGAAGAGCCAGACCGAAAGATGGTTCTGGCAGGAAACAGGAGAGAAAAGAAGCGCGAGCACATGTGGCTAGTAGATTTTTATACCCTCTCTAGCCTTTTGTTTGAAGTGGTTCCTGTTCCTGTTTCAGGCTTTGTATTTCCTGTGTCACGTATTCTGACCTGAGTCTGGGTGTGCCCTTTGGCATTTGTGAGTTAATCCTACCATGTCCTGTCTCAGGTGGGGTATGCAGATTTTAGGTGTCTTTTGTCTTCTTAAGCTTCTAGCTCCAACTTTCCTGATGGTTTACATCTGCATATGTACAGAGCTGGCTTCTGCTTGGGGCAGAGAGACTTGGGGGCAGGGTTAGTTTCTGCTTTTAAAATCCTTTTGAGGAAATATATTTTCCTGCCCTTTTAATATTTCCTTCTCTGGGGAGCTGACTTCCCTCAATCTGTTGCTTACTTAGCAGCAGGATAAAAGTGGTTCGACACCTCCTTCTCCTAGGATATGTTTCAATTCCCCAGGCAAATAAATACTAAATCTGATTGAAGCTAATCCTACTGAAGAGTTCCTACCATGGCGTTACATGGCAGAGCAGGAATAAAAGCGGAGAAATTAATTAAATTAAATCCTTTTGTTCTGTAGACATAATCCCTTAAATTTCTGTGTACAATCACCTAGGGTTGAGATTGCCTGGTACTAATATATCCCATTTAAGCACTAACCAGATCTGACCCCGTTTTACTTTTTGAGACCAAATAGAGTGCTGATTAGAAAGAAAACTTGCAAAGCAACTTCGCCAGAACTAACATTAAACAGAGAAATCATGATTTGCTCCCAAATCCTGGCAGGGAAGGTGGGCAATGATAGATTTTTTTTTCATAAATCGGAAAGTAACGTATTCATTGGAATATCTTGAACATCTGCATATATTTTTTTTGCATTTTGTAAAGTAAGGGTTGTTGTTTTAAGTTGTTTGGGAACAACAGTAACATTATCTCTTAAGTTTGAAAACTCAAGAATGTTAATAGTTTTTGTTAGTACCATTTATACCAGGAGTGTGCACTTGTTGCTCTCTGGGTATTACAAACTACAACTCCCAGGTGTGTTAAGACAATTTAGCCAAGCATGAAAGATGCTGGAAGATGTAGTTTAGCTTTTGCTAGAGGCCCACGAATTTTAAAATGTCCATTTCATCCCTAGGGCTTTGCTCTTCCTCTGTTATGCTAATGCTTTGATTTCTGCCTTTGAAGGCCAGCCGAGCTGCCGCTGTCACTGAGCGTGTTCACACCCAAGTGCAACAATTTCTTAAAGAAGGTTGTTTAAGAGAAGAGATGGTGCTTGACAACATCCCAAAACTGCTGAACTGCTTAAGAGACTGCAACGTGGCCATCCGCTGGCTGATGCTTCATGCTGCAGACTTGGGTAAGAAGTGAACTTTTACAACAAGGATGGGCAATCCATCTAGAGCAGTGGTTCTCAACCTTTTTAATGCTGCGACCCCAACCGGTCGTAAGTCGAGGACTAAACTGGTCGTAAGTCAAGGACTACCCAACTGGTCGTAAGTCGAGGACTTTCCCTGCCCGGGAGCACCGCGCATGCGTGGTTCCGCCCCCTGCGCCGGCCGAGGCGTAGCTGGCAAGCGGCAGAGATGGAGCAGGCCGACCACCAGCTGGCCCAGCCCAAGGGAGGTAAGGCACCCGCCGGAAAAGGGGAAAAAAATGGCGGACAAAAAAAATGGCAGACAGCCTTGCTTGGCGACCCCCGTGAAATGGTCGATCGACCCCAAATGGGGTCCCGACCCACAGGTTGAGAACCACTGATCTAGAGAAGGGAAGTTTGCAAGTCACATTTTCTTTTCATGACTTAGCTAGAGGCCCTCCCTTCTTAAAGTCCCCTCAATTCTGGACTCAATTGTGGTCGTAAGTGGAGGACCATCTGTAATTCACGTGTAGTCGCCATATTCAGGATCGGTGTATGATAAAAAAAAAAAACCCAACAAGGGAAGCCATGGTCTTCAGACCCCACTTGGAATTTTTCATGGGAATGGAAACGTGCTATTGCTGGAAAATGTGATGCTAGCTTCAACTTGTCAGGGAATTGCTCAACTGGTGTCCAAACGGAGTCAGACAAACTTGTAGTTTTATATAAATAAATATATTTAACATCTATATTTAGAGTAGACAAGATAGACACACCACTGTATCATGAGGTAAATCATCAGGTAAATCACAGAACAGCATACAGAGCATGCAGAAGAAAAAGGCGGGAAAAAAGGGAAACTCCCCCTTTACATCCAGCAACCAATCATAACATAGATTGCTTCATGCCGGAACCCGCACTCTCCCGTCAATCAACCACAACTGTGTGTTCTGGCCCATTAACAGAGGGATAGAATCAAGATCACGTGAAGTATTAATACCACTTTACAAGGCCTTAGTAAGGCCACACTTGGAATACTGCATCCAGTTTTGATCACCACGATGTAAAAAAGATGCTGAGACTCTAGAAAGAGTACAGAGAAGAGCAACAAAGATGATTAGGGGACTGGAGGCTAAAACTTACAAGGAACGGTTGCTGGAATTGGGTATGTCTAGTTTAACGAAGAGAAGGACGAGGGGGGACATGATAGCAGTCTTCCAATATCTCAGGGGCTGCCACAAAGAAGAGGGAGTCAAGCTATTCTCCAAGGTGCTTGAAAGCAGGACGAGAAGCAACGGGTGGAAACTGATCAAGGAGAGAAGCAACCTAGAACTAAGGAGAAACTTCCTGACAGTTAGAACAATTAACCAGTGGAACAACCTGCCTCCAGAAGTGGTGAATGCTCCAACACTGGAAGTTTTTAAGAAGAGACTGGACAGCCGTTTGTCTGAAATGGTGTAGGGTTCCTGCCTGAGCAG